CTGAACAGGAGGAAGAACTTCTTCCCTCTGAGGGTGATGGAGCACTGGAGCAGGTTGCCCAGAGGGGTTGTGGAGTCTCCTTTGCTGAAGATGCTCAAAATCTGCCTGGACAAGGTCCTGTGCAGCCTGCTGTAGGTGATCCTGCTTCAGCAGGGGGGTTGGACTAGATGACCCACAGAGGTCCCTTCCAACCCCGACCATTCTGTGTGTGATTCTGGGCGCTGACAGGGGGGGACGAGGACTAGGGGCTGTGGGGTAGGTGTGGGGCAGCAGCTCGGGTGGGGGGCTCTAGGTGCGAGGCAGAGATGGGTGTGGGGAGAGGTGGGGCTGTTGGGAGCTGGGGTGAAGGCAGAGTCATCTATGGGGTGGGTCAGGGTTTTAGATGGCTGGTCTAGAGCATAGGATGGGAGTGAATGTGTTGGAGCTACTGGTGGTGCAGGGGGCTACCCTGGAGCAGGGAATGGGGCTTTGGTGTGGGGGATATGGCATGGAATGTGTGAACTGACGGGAGTATGAGGCTGCAGGCCCTGGCAGTGGAGGTTTGGGGGTGCAGCGGGAGCTGCTGTGGGTGGTACTGGGTATGACTGGCCAGCTGGTGGCCATGGCTGGGTGGCAGAGAATGTGCCAGTGGGGAGGGAGCTCCTGGCCTTGCTGAGATGCTGTGGGAGAGGACTGATGCACTGCCTTCTCTGGTCCCTCCTTCTGGGGCCCAGGCTCTGACTGTCCTCTCAGTGGTTTCTCCTTTCCTGGCAGGGCTTGAGGCATTTGGTTTCCCTGGTTAATTTGACATTCTGCTTGGAGCAGTGATTTGGTGACTTTGTTACTGTAGGGAATTTGCAGCTTCAGGAATGTGGCTTTTTAAGGATAAGGCAGCACATTTGTGTTTCTAGGCAGTGGCTCCAGCACACTTTGTAAAAGAGTTGAGTGAGCAGAGAAGGGCTACGTAGGCTAAGTTGCACAGAGGGGTAGCTTATCGGCCTTTCCCAAGGCTGATGGATTGTGAACTGATCTGTGGTATCTTGGTGATGAGATGAGCTGGCGAAATGGAAAGGCAACCTGGTGGTCCGTGTAACACAGAGTGAAGAAAATGCCAAGGAAATTTGGAGGAATTCACTGAACTACATAACATTCAAGATGTTTCAAAAGAATTGCACAAAGCCTCCGACGTATTTGGGATAGAAGGGGGAAAGATAACCTTACAACTGCTGTTGTTGTCTATGGTCAGATTACAGAAGTGTCTGCAGAAAGCTTTGTCTCTCTGAAGACGTGCAAAGAGAAGGGCTGCCCCCGCCCCCCTGGCTCTCGTCAGCCGTATGGCCCTCGTGGCAAACCTACCTGGACAAGCGAGGGAGCTGGCGAGTGTCCTCTGGCCCCTCTGACCTGGTATAGAATCACACATCAGAAAGTATTAAATTGCATCACGCATCCTTGAGCGAAAGGGGAGGTTTTTTCTAACCTTGTGGCTGTTGTGCAATTGTTGGAAGAAATGCGTTGAGCTTCTCCCATGTGTTGCCGAGTACTAAATGGAGTGTGACTGGGCAGGTGGAAGAAGGACCTCGGTGCCGTCACAGGCGGCCCGGGCTGCACGGGCCAGCGGCTGGCAGAAGGAGGCTGAACGTGTTTTTATTAAAAGGTGGGGAGGGAAGGATACTGCTGTTACAGCAGTCCGTCACATGCTCCCCGTGAATGCTGTGCTCACGTTTTGAGGGTGTGGGGGAGACAAGAATGGAAATCCTGCAGAAGTGATTTATGTCTAGAAGGACACTGTGGGAAAGGGAGGAAGAGATGTCAGGAAAGGGAGCAGACTGATTCCGAGTAACAGTGCAGCGAAGGGTAAATGCCTTGCTTCTGTTTAGCCTCTCGGACTACCGGAACGCCAGAATACCCCTGGTAAAGGGAGTGCTGGGATTCAGGGTGCATCATTATCCTTGGGAACTTGCTGCTGCCAGATGCGGAGGCAGAATTTTCACAGGCTCGCCGCTGCGCCTGCTGTGCTGATGAGGCAGGTCCAATTATAGCTGTGCTTGCGCTGGAGTAGTGGCCTGCACAGCTCTGCTTGCGAGCGGGAGGCAGTGCTCGCAGGTCTCGCCGTCGGGGCTGGTGCTGGTCCCTCCACGCGAGGCAAAGCTGGTCGCACCCCCGCGTCCTAGAGAACGGAGTGAGTTCTCTCGCTGTAGCCAAGCGAAGGGGCCGCTGACCACGGGGAGTGTCAGTAGCCAGCTGTGGTTTGATCATTACACTTCAGCTCTTTTCCTGTTGATTAGGAAACCAGCAGCTTTGGGTAGATGCTGCTTTCGACCTCTGAAAGGGCAGAGAAGCAGAGTGCTTGGCTGCGGAGACAGCGTTTGTCTCGGTCCTTCTCCGTGGTGGTTCAGATGCACGAGGGCTTTTCATGAGCCTGCAGAGCGGGGAGTTGGGAGGGTGTGAAGGGGCCATACGAGCTCTGCCAGCAGTCCGCCCTGTGTTGGGTCAGTGTACAGCACCCGCTTGCTGCTGCACTGTTGTTCTGCTGCAAGAAATTTTGCCAGCACCTTACAGCTGTCGCTCAAGGCACCTCCTGTTCAGGCTGTGCCTGTCGACTCTGCGACCTGCTGGGCTCCTCTTCCTCCTCGCAGCTCCTCATATCTGTTCTGTCCCTCAGTCCACGCTCCCTCTTCCTGCTGTGCCAAGCAGGATTGGAAGCTCTGGCTCTGGAGTCGGGGCTGCCTGCTCTCAGAAAACACGGTCATCCCTTCTCCCATCCCCAGAGACTGCTCTCAGATGAACAGCATAGCTTAATACTGGAAGTAACTGTAGTGCTTGCAACAGCAGGAGACACTAGCTGAGACAAGGCCTGGGAAAGCCACGAATGAAAGCTTTAGGCTTCTGAGGGGATAGGTGCCCTGTCAGTCACATAGGCAAGACCTCAGCAGGGAAGAGGGATTGAACAGGGCCCTTCAGAGTTCCGGGCAAAGACAGCGAGTCTTGGTGACTGGAGGGTGCTTTTTGTGTGGGGGAAAGCTGTTTTGTCCAGATAGAGAGTGAGGGGTGCTGCTTGTTTCCCAGCAGTGTCCCTTGCCACCTGAACTACAGGTTAGGGGTCTGAAGGTGAGGCAGTCCCTCGCCTCCCACCCCATGTCTCACCTCAGGGCATGCTCAGCACTTTCCGGCTGGGAAGGTGTCATGTGGGTGGTGGGAGTGGAGAACCTGCCCTTCTGCCAAAGCTCTTGTAGGATGCAGCAGGTCGGTTACCAAAGCCTCCCAAGGAGTGACTCTTCCCCCAGTTGAAGTTGCAAGAATATTGAAGCAGGAGGTGAGTGAGGCAACCTGGTGGGATGTCTGAGTCAGAGCTGGAAATAGACTCCAGGAGTCCCAGCGCCTCGTCTTCCTCTGCCTTTCTCCCGGCCCTCCGTCTTGGAGGGAGCTTGTGCAGGTCTTGCTCAGCATGGAAGTGGCAGAGCCAAGGTGGGAAGCTGGGCGATCGCTAGCTTCTGGGGTGTTTGCTCGGCCAGTTCTCCTCGGGAAGCACCTGAGGAGCTGCCATCTCTCGCCTCCTGGCTTACTCACATTAGAGAAGCATTTTTTGTCATCTCAGCAAAGTGGAGCACAGTGAGGCTGCTTCTCTTGGGAGCCACGTGTTGGTTATGGATGCAGCCAGGCTGCAGGAAGAGGACAGAGGCAAAGGGCAGGCAAGTTCACCCCTTGCTGCCTGCTCTCAGCTCTGATCCCGTCGAGGCAGCTCTTGGTCCCGTAGGTGTTCGCAGGCAGGGCTGGAGGCAGCTCCACCAGCTGAGTGCACGTGGCTCCTCCGGTGCTTAGCCAGGTCCTGGAACTCGGCCAGCTTTTGCTGCTGAGGTGCCAGGGCCCTTCCCAGTATCTGTCTCCAGTGCCATGCTGGACTGACGGTCTGGGAGTCTCTTTGGTTCACTCTCTTTACCTCTTTTCTCCAGGGGTGAAAGATGGAAGCTGGACTGTGCTGCAGCTTGTGGAAGCCCTGGGGTAAGCAAAGCCTTATACATGTTATACATGACGTAGGGGCCTTGCAGGGGAGATTCCTGCAAGGAGGGACAGTGAGAAGGAAAAGTGTGCATGCTTGTCCAGGATGAGCTAGCTTCAGCACTAGTAGACACACCACAGCACGCAGGCCTGCAAGGATGTTGTCTGCTCGCAGCACGGGGCCTGAATGGTGCTTTGCCCTCCCAGGACTTGGGAGCTGTTTGGGAAAGAGCAAGGCCGGAGCAGTTCTTGATGCTCTCCCAGGACTGAGGAGAGGCATTGTGGCTGGCAGTGAGCCGCAGGTCGCTTCTTAGTTGGGACTGTCCCCAGCAGGAGCTGCCCGAGCACACAGCTGCACATCACCGTGTCACGAATTGACTGGCATTCAGCTTTTGCTTCTGTCGCTGAGCTGTCGCGGCCTAGGACTCGGGGAGGCTCGTTTCTCCTGGGTCTGGGTTTGCCTCACTGTAAGAGGCTTTGCCCTTTTTTGGACCTTGTGAACTTGGGAGCCTGAGTTTCAGGTGCAGAGCATGGTGCAAGAGCAATTTGTTGGGTCTGACTTGAGAACTTGGATTTATTGCTGCGTGGCTGTGGGGCCGGGTGCACGCGTTCAGAAGAGTCAGGGGTAGAGGGGTCTGGTCCCACCCTGCCGGCAAGTCAGACAGGGCTGGGCCACTGCCCCCCTGCCCAGAGAGCGGCACCTCTTGGTTTTATAATGTGTCTGCTCAGGATGTGCTTCCTGCTTGGGAGTCCCTGCTCACAACAGGCCTCTTGGGCTTTCTCCCCACTTGGGTTAGGTCTTGCCTGGAGAACACAGATCCTCGGACGCGAGGGCGAGGGATCCAGCTGCTGTCACAAGTCCTGCTCCAGTGTTACTCGCTGCTCCAGGAGAAGGAAGGTAAGGGCTGCTCTGGGTCCTCGAGTAGCTGCCAGCAGGCTGGGGACAAAGCCTGTGCCACTCAGATGTCTGTCCTGCAGTTGGCAAAGAGATTGATTTAGCACTGTGTGTGGTGGGTTGACCCTGGCTAGACACCAGGTGCCCACCAAAACCGCTCTGTCACTCCCCCTCCTCACTTGGACAGGGCAGAGAAAATATAATGAAAGGCTTGTGGGTCAAGATGAGGACAGGGAGAGATCACTCACCAATTACCGTCATGGGCAAAACAGACTTGGCTTGGGGAAAAATTAATTTAATTTATTATTAATCAAAATCAGAGCAGGATAATGAGAAACAAAACCAAATCTTAAAAACACCTTCCCCACACCCCTTCCTTCTTTGTGGGCTCAACTTTACTCCAGATTTTCTCTACCTCCTCCCCCCGAGTGATGCTGGGGGATGGGGAATAGGGGTTGTGGTCAGATCATCACACATTGTTTCTGCTGCTCCGTCCTGCTCAGGGGGAGGACACTTCACTCTCTTCCCCTGCTCCGGTGTGGGGTCCCTCTCACAGGAGACAGTCCTCCATGAACTTCTCCAACGTGAGTCCTTCCCACGGGCTACAGTTCTTCATGAACTGCTCCAGTGTGGGTCCTTCCCACGGGGTGCAGTCCTTCAGCAACAGGGTGCTCCAGCGTGGGTCCCCACAGCCCTGAAGGCAACCCTTTTCTGGCAGGTGCTCCTCTGTCCACGGGTCCGCAGCTCCTGGCAGGAGCCTGCTCCAGTATGGGCTCTCCGTGGAGTCACAGCCTTATTTGGGCATCCCCCTGCTCCACTGTGGGGTCCTCGCTGGGCTGCAGGTGGATATCTGCTCCACCATAGACCTCCATGGGCTGCAGGGCCGTACTCTGCCTTACCATGGTCTTCATCACGGGCTGCAGGGGAGTCTCTGCTCCAGCGCCTGGAGCACCTCCTCCCCCCCTCCTTCTTCACTGACCTTGCTGTCTGCAGAGCTGTTCCTCTCACATCTCACTCTTCTCTCCGCTGCTGTAAAATTGTGCAGTTTTTTTCTTTCCCTTCTTAAATATGTTATCACAGAGGCGCTCCCAGCATCGCTGATGGGCTCGGCCTTGGCCAGCGGTGGGTCCATCTTGGAGCCGGCTGGCACTGGCTGTATCAGATATGGGGGAAACTTCCAGCAGCTTCTCACAGAAGACATCCCTGTAGCCCCCCCACTACCAAAACCTTGCCACACAAACCCAATACACCGTGACAATTTTGTATGTGTCTCTCTCGAGTCAGAGTCCAAGGAGGGCATGGGGCCTCACGCTGCAGCCTTTTTGCCAGCCTCCCAACGCAATTCTGGTCACTCCCTGAACACGCCAAAGCCCTGGCGCTGCAGCTGGTGCCCCCGGCAGTGTGTGGGTGTTGCACACCCAGGCATGCTCATCGCCACGTGGGACGCCTTGGGGACACATCTGCATGTCAAAATCCTTGGGTAGTGATTCAGCACAGGAAAACTGTCCTTCATGAAGTGAGTGATGCCACAGCCCTGCGGCCTGCCCAGGTTAGCTCTGGGGGAGCCCTGGGGCGGAGGGGAGAGCAGCGTAAGGGTGAGAGTCGAGTGGAGGACTGGAGTGGGGAGAGGAAGATGCCGTGTTCAAGGAGGCAGGAAGAAGGTTTGGCTACATTAAATGCCCTGTAGCAACTGGCTGGTGACAGGGGAAGCCCCTACATGCTGCCAAACTTTGGCTTGGACTGGGGGCCTTGCTGATGGGTAGCTGAACCTGTGCCAGCAGGCTGGTGAGGCAGGGGGGCCCAGCTGGTGAGTGAGGTGGAGGAAGGGAAGGATGGAAGGAAAAAGTGCTTAGTCCTTGGCATTTGGCTCTCTGTAAGTCTCAGCCTGGTGCCAGGCAGGGCCGAGAGCAGCTGTGCAGAGAGTAGGGACAGAGTAGCTACTGGTGTAGCTGGAGTGACTGGTGACTGTGATGGGGACTGGGTTGCTCTGGAGGGGTGGCTGAGGGTGGGGAGGTTCAGTGGGGATGCCTGGCAGCGTCAGGGGAGCAAGACAGGTTAGAGGCGAGTTGCCAGGAGCTCTGGAGAAGGTGGCAGAGCCAGCCCCCTGGGAGGGCGTGAGTGGCTGCTGTGACACCCCCAGCCGGCCCCACATCCCCCTGTGTCCCTCCGCACGCAGTTCATTTCTCGAGTGCTGCGTCAGGTTGCCTCCTGGGGAGGGGGGCGTCTGCAGCCGCTGGGGGCGCCGGGC